GTTCATTTTTATTTTGTAGTTGAGCCTCTGACCACTAGTTGGCAGCAGTGAGCCAGCCATTTGGCTACTCTACCTCTTGAGGTAGAGGCTATTGTTAAGTGTTGGGTGACCATATTGTAAATTAATATTAAAAACTAAAAGCTGCAAAAAATATATTTTCAAACTATTTATTGTCAAATTTAGTCTAATAATTGAAAACATGGATGAAATAAGAAATATGAAACAAATAAAATAAAATACATACAAAGCAGAACACAGCTAAATGAATCAAAATCATGTCTATGTTATATTATAATTTTCTGAGACAATGAATTTTGGTTTTTCATTTTTTTCCCCTGTAAGAGGTTTTTATTTAATAGAATTTTTGGACAAAAAAATCGCAATATATTGCAATATATCGCCTTGCTTATAGTATCACAATATATCGGGATATATCGTATCGTAACCCCTCTGTCATGATATGTATCGTATCGCCGAATTCTTGCCAATACACAGCCCTATTAATGACTAAAGCCACATTAAGGTATTTTGGTATTTTGATCCAAAGTAGGAAATGTAGCAATTCAAAAATTGCGATTGAAATGGAAGAATAATGGGGAAATAGTAATAACTTATTTTATGTGTTGAAATACTCATAATTGAAGATGTCACTAGTGCAAGAATTAGATAACTGGAAAATACTGTAAAACATAAGAATCTGCTGTAAATGTCTTAAGTTTTATTACAGCAGATAAAGTAAATAAACTCATCCAATAAATGTTACTTTCTAGGATCCTACATGATATAACACAAATCAGATCCGTTTTAAACTCCACTACGTAATTAACACTGCTTTCTGCTGCACTTTGGGGAAACTAGAATAGTTTTCCTAAAGGTCAGCTGGATAGTAATCAAATCATCTTGCACAGTGTTCAAACTGCAAATCCACTTCCATGCCCCCTTGATATCTGCTTTTGGTGTGGTGCTGGTGATTCAAGTCAATTAGAGATGTGCTTGTGAATTTTGTTAGTGTCTGGATGAAAAGGAGGGGGCTGTCAGTCAAAGGGCCACTGCGGTTATGTATCTAGGGGGCTCCAAGGGGCTMTAAACCTGTATTCGTATGAATAAAAAAGAAGGGATTTAGGAGCAGACGGTTTCTGCAGCAGACTTGTCAAAAATATGACCTTCGCAGCAGTGGAGGGGGGTTTGACAAGAAAGGAGGGTGAAAGGAAGGAATTAAAGAATTGAGACGTTAAGGCTCAGTGGCTTCAACATTAAGAGGTGAAAGTGAAAATAAAAAAATAAATAAACAGTGGAGAAAGAGTAAAGGGTATTCCAAAGATGAAAGGCCAACACACACTTTTACTTTGAAATAGAGACAAGAAATAAAATTTAAGTGCAGAACTCATCAAAGCTCAACTGATTTTCACTGATTCCAGTTTCTCTTTAAAAATTATAATCAATACCAGAATTTATTGTTAACATTTCTGGCTGGGCTAAAAATTTGACAATATATCTAACAAAAAAAGTTTCTTGTTGAAATAAAATTTAACAGAATAAGCAGTTACATAAAATTTTAAAAAGTCTATTTGCACTGTAAGTTATGTAATTGATCTGCTGGGAACTGGACAAGATGATCAAACTGGGGGGAAAAAACAACAGATTTAGGGATGCTAGCTTGCACCTTTTCTATACTTTATTACTCCTTAGTGGTTTTCAAACTTTTGAGCTTCTGACCCACAAAATAACAGCTGAAGAAAGTTGTGCCTCCAGATATTACTGGTYTATGCTTTGCTAATAATTTAGTTAAACATGGGCATAATAATATCAGCAAACCCACATACGTTTACTTATTTATTATTATTGTATTTTTGCAAAAAATTATGGTGAAAATATTCCATTGCCAATGTATTTGCATTTAAATTGGTGTCTGGAAATCATCTGGTGATCCTCACTTGCTGTTTCAGGACCYTCAGAGGGGTCCTGGCTACAATTTTGGGAACAGCTGCCTTAAGTGAATATATACACCAAGGATTGGCAACTGAAGTGAACAATTGTGTTTATTAAGGCTTTGTAACAATTAATTAATTTATGAAAAAAAGTTAAGTCAAGTCAAAAGAAGCAAACCAAATGAACAAAAAACACGGGTTTAATGAATCCATGGGTTTTAAGCAGCTGAAAATTTGTTCATAATAATTATATTATTCATAATTATATTGTTACTCTTTATTAGTTTAAAAAGGTCTCATTTGTCGCAATAATTTTTGAGACAATTTTTCATCCAGAAAATTTGTTATTGCGACAGGTCTAGAAATTTGTACTCAATAAATACAAATCATTCTTCTGTTTCCAGTACAAGGTCGTTATGGAAACATGACATCTTTGAGAAGCTAAATGCATGTCAAAAAAACTGGAATTAGATTTTTTATTTTTTATTTTTTGGCTAGTTAGTGCATTTGCCATTGTGAAGTCCTAAAACTACCATTGTTGGACACTTTTACAGGCCAGTGCACAAGTAAAAGRCAGATGCTGGCATGTGGAAAGCATTCAATTATATGAGTCTAATGAAGTTAGTGATGGGGTATTAGATAGCAGACTCAAATCAGACCATGCCATTTAAATCGGAGAAAAAACTTCAACTTCCTGACTGTGCAAGGTGGAGCTGAGGCATTCCAACACATGGTCTGCAACAGCCCCTTTTTGCGACTGTGCTGCCATTGTTCGGGAGACCAGAAAGGACCTTGTATTTTCCAGGAGTTGGGGCAAACTCTTTTTCCTGCTATGAGAAAAGAGAGACAACACTTCCTTTCCCAGAACAATTTATCTCTCTGGTTGACAAGACTCCCTGCTATATTTACCCAACTAAAATTGCAGATGATATACTTCCAGCTGCAGTACTTGGCTCCTCCATGGCACATGGTCCTGTCAATCAAACTCGGCTCAACAGCGCAAAAGWGCCCGGGTAGTGAAACACTCACAAAAATGAAGCWGACGAGMTGGAAAAGAAAGGAAATTAGGGCCTGAAAACCAAGAGGAGCTGAGAACTCTAGTGGGGACTAATTCGTATTTCAGTTACTCGTTGGCTTTTGTTGTCAGAGGGAACAGAGATGTACGCTAGAATGAACAGAATTACAGAGCTTTCATTAAGCAGACAGCTGGGCCGCTGCGGAACCTCAAAGCAGCAACAAAGCWCAGCCCACCCATAACATTTGCTACCAAAATATTGCTGTATGTCTGCATGACAGACACCACCAATGAGATCCATTAGGCACTAATGGTTCTGGAAAACAAAACTAATTRATCAGTTTTGATCACAATAGAACTCAGCTCGTCTGCAGTTGTTCAATTTCTGYCTCATATTTTATCAGGGGATAATAGAACTGTTGAAAGGCTGCATGTGCAAGAGATTTAGGTTTTAGGTATGGACCAAGACCTTTAAACAACCATGACACAAACTTCTGTAAGTAAATATCCTGAGAAATTAAATCACCTTCAATTTTGGTGAAACACAGTAATGAATACTTTTCGTGAGCTGATGTCTGAAGAGGGAGCGAGGGAGTTAGGAGCAAAATAGGAGAAAAAGGGGGAAAAGAAGGGTTAAACAGTGTGGTGGAGTTCTCCTCGGCCAGAAGTGCCTGTCCATCTCACAGCCCAAGAGGCATTCCCTGGAGGAGGCCCGTGGCAGCAGGGCTCCATGTGTTGCATCTTTCCCTTTGCTCAGAACTTCAACAAGTGGAGCTGTAGGACTGTCGGGAGCTGCCAGGCCTCTCATTGCAAAGGCATGCAGAACTGCTCTAAGAGCCAGCTCGTGTCCCTCAGAGCAGAAAGGGAGCTTTCATACCGGAACTGTAAACTCTCAAGTGCTCCATTACTACTTTCAATAGTATCACAGATTAAAGTCCAAGATTCCTTCATGTTTGGCAATTCCCCAACTTCTCTACACTCAAGAATCACATTTCACTGTCAGTTTTACAACATTTTTGACTTTCAGGTCCAAACATGCACGCATTCTTTCTGATTTTAAAATCCCAAACTGATCAAACAGTAATTACATGACCTGTTCAGCTGCAAAAAGTTTAAGTTGCAAAAGGTTTGTCACGTAATTGAAGTTCAAGATATTTTAGCAACAGAAAACAATTTCTGTCAAACCATTGTATAATATTTAATAAAAAGAACAAAAAAACCCTGCATAAAGATTTTTACCCCTAATAGAGGTGCTAATTACTTGTGCTACTGTAGTCGGTCTACGTTCCTACCCTCATTTATGGTCACGAGCTTTGGGTAGTGACCGAAAGAGCGAGATTGCAGATACAAGCGGCCAAAATGGGTTTCCTGTGCAGGGTGTCTGGGCTCTCCCTTAGAGATAGGGTGAGAAGCTCGGTCATCCAGGAGGGACTCAGAGTAGAGCCGCTGCTCCTCCACGTCGACAGGAGCCAGTTGAGGTGGCTCGAACATCTGGTTAGGATGCCTCCTGGATGCCTTCCTGGTGAGGTGTTCTGGGCACGTCCCACTGGGAGGAGGTCCAGAGGAAGACCCAGGACACGCTGGAGGGACTATGTTTCTCGGCTGGCCTGGGAACGCCTTGGAGTTCCCCCAGAGGAGCTGGCCCAAGTGGCCGGGGAGAGGGAAGTCTGGGTCTCTCTGCTTAGGCTGCTGCCCCACGCGACCCGATCCCAGATAAGCAGCAGAAAATGGACGGACGGACTGCAGTCAACACATTGAATGGATATTTTGGCTTTTCAGTATTTTTTAGGCTCTGTTGCTTCAGTGAGCTCATTTTTTTCAATTAGGTGTGATAAAGTACCAGAACTTTTTCACCCTCTATGATCACTACCATTGGTGGGTTATTATTCTGTCCATGTAAAATAAAAGATAAAAAAAATGTTTTTCAACAGTCTTTGCCTTATTACATACYCAATGAGCTCTCCGGCAGGCTCCCAAGTTGGGAACCACTGATTCAGCATTTAGAGAAGTACTAATCACATTAAACAAAATAAATGACAAAACCCATCTCAACACACCTTTTATGTTGTTGAGTACTTCCTTGAGATGACTGAAGCTGTTCAGTAGTGGGTCTTGTTCTTCATCCTGTCCAAAACAAAAACCACCACCACCATGGATAGACATTAGATACACMACAAGGACATTGTTATGCTGCAGTTCAACACATTCATTCTACAACCCCAGTTCCAAAAAGGTTGGTTGTTGTGCAAAAAGTTTATAAAAACATTGCATTCAGGTTTTATTCACATTTTACATGTTCCAACTTATTGGGAATTGGGACTGAACATACTTCTTTTTAAAAATATTGGTGACGTTAGAATTAACCCTATGAAACACGAATGAATCCAACGTACCAATGATGTATGGGTGTTCCATCTGGAGTTCCTCTTTATGGCTCCAACAACAGTGGTTATTTCCCCTTGGACAATGTAGATGTTCTTGTCAACCATGCTGTTTTTCTAATAGAAAAGTATACAAATGGGACATTTCAATGTTGGTTTAACAGATGCATATCAATAGCAGCTGCCACGCCATTTCTTGTCTTTTCTACACCTATCTGCGTGATATGTACTCAAGTCAGCCACTAATAAAATCCCAGCACTCAAACCACCACCTAAACTTTGACTATACCTGCATTCTGAAGTGTRGGGTGAATGCTTCTGCTTATGATGCTACAGTCTCATGGTTCGATTGGGTCACTACATCTTTGAGGGTTTAGAAAGTTTACCAACACAGCTGATTAGGATTTATTTTAAAAAGTGGGGTATTGTGTATTTTACAGTCACATAATTCAATTCTATGTCACAATCAAGTAACTGTTACTTTCTGTTGTCATAAATGTCACTTTTCATCATAGACCATCTAAAAAAAAGAAAAAAATCAAAAAATTTAATAATTTAATGACATCAAATAATTTCTTGATGTGCATTAAAAAATAAAAACTATTATTTACAATTTGAGTTGACGTTATCTGTGATYCTGATGACAATATCATAATTGCACTGAGCTTTATTGCAGAAATGTTTCTGACAAGTTGATGACAATAAAAGGTTTAGATTAGGGATGTCTCGATCCAGATTTTTTCGCTCCCGATACAATCCGATTTTTTTAATGATTAGTCTTTCCGATACCGATCCAATAGCTTTTTTTTCTTTATTTCTTTCCAAATGACAAGTCTGGTAGTATTAAAACGAGCCCTGCTGTTGCCACCATGAGAAACATTCAGTTTGCAGGTTTTGCAAGATGCAGTTTCAGCATCATTGTTTTCCATTGAAAAGTGTTCCTGCACTGTGGACATGGTTGCAAACTTGTGTGCGTCTTGACTTCTTAACAGCAGTTGTAAAGCATGAAGATGTTGAAAACTGTCATGAAAACTGGATCGGACCGATCATGTGATTAAATCAGATTCTACCCAATTTTCAAAAAATGGCCATATCTGCCACCGATACTGAGTATCTGATCGGGACGTCCGTAGTTGAGGTTTAACCAAACATTGCTTTAAAAGCATTTTTATATTAATAAGGATTTACATTTGGTGCGAGAAATAGAAGAACATAAAAAAATCATTTGGTCCAAAGAAAAAATCACAATCTTTAAAGGTGATTCAACATTCATTAGAAAAAAGTAACATATGAAAACARTGGTTGTTAAAAATGAGTTACTAACATATTTTATTAATTAAGAGGTTCCATCTGGCAAACATATCAGTCAGACAAAAATCTGTTAAAAGGGAACAAGAGGGTGCATAAATAATTTTTTAAAGTAATAAATCAGATAACCACAGACAAATCTTCAACAACTTTGCAAAAATGGCAATATGTACTCATCAATGGAGAAAAATACAGTACGTTTTTTACAAAATGTCCCAAAGCTACACTAAAATTCATCTAAAAGATGGTTAAATCAAAGACTTATATAAAAAAGACACAAGTTTTAAAAAGTAGTTGAAACCCAAGTTGCAAAAGTCATGAAACACAAACTATGAAACTGATAYAGAATCTAAGAATTAAACAGCAAATTTCCATATAAATCTTGACAATGCCTAAAACCAATATGGATAACCAAACACAGTCAAACTGACACAGCGCTCATGTTTGACAAAGGGTATAGCTCAAAATGGTCGCATTAACCTTTTTTCTTCATGTGTCATCRAAGTCATGCCAGATAAGACTCTTATGTTGCAGTAAGATTTATGAAGGAAGGTACAGGGTGGCCAGGGCCACTTGGTTTAAAATTCACAGGAAACAGTCCTGTGAATCCTTAAAAAAATACAAGTTTAACAGAATGAACGGCAAAGACAAGAAGGTAGGATTACAGTGAAGGGTATAAACCTGATAACACAAGAAAATCAGCAATACTGAACAGAAACTAGATTTTATTTTCCATTATAAAACGGCTAGAAGGACAGCATGCAGGTGGTTAGCATTGTTGCCTCACAGCAARAAGGTTGAAAGTYTGAATCCCAACTGGGGCCTTTYTGTGGAGTTTGCATGTTCTTCCCTTGCWCTTGTGTAGTTGTCTCTCTAAATGTAAAAGCATGCATGTCGGGTAAATTGGACACTCTAACTGACTCTAGATAGTCTGTGYGCCTGGCTGTATGTCCTGCCTCTTTGTGACCCTGTGATGGACTAAACAGCCTGCCCACTGACAGCTGGGACAGGTACCTTCCCTCCTCCCCTATTCAATGCAGTTTTAAGGAGGAATCACTGTTGTCCTTCTTGGACAGGGTGCTGTTATATAAGATGAATGTTGTAACATTGAAGCAGGTCTTCAGAACGGTGGCAAGTAYGGAACTTAAAACAATGTTAAAGCCAGGATGAAGGGTTTCTTATAAACACATTGAGTGGCAACAAGATCAAATGTGATATCACTTTATTTGTTGATGACTATAAGGGGTCTGTTCAGTAGCAAATCAAGTTGTCTGCAACTTAAYATTAAACAAAATGTGTACGGTACTGAAAGAAAACAAAATCAATTTATCTCAGAAGACAAATGATTCTGACTGGACAGGCTTTCCTTAATGTGTTTATCTCTTTACAGAGTCAGTTTGATCAAATTAAMATCCACAAGCATTGTATACAAATTTAAATGAAAAATGAACAGAACTATGCAAACAAAGATTCATAAATCGGCCAGTTTGTTTGAATTGCAAGATGGGTGAKTAGATGAAGTCAGAAGCGTGTATGGCTAAGACAGGGTGCTAATCTGACACAAAATGATGATGTTCCTGAGGTTCTGACAGGTAACTGCACAAAACAATGTTTTAGAACATATCAAATGATTGTTTTTTAATCACTGACATCAAGCTCAGCTGTTCACTAATTCATTTAAACAGAACTACGGAATCATTTTGACATGGCAGCTAGCTAACTACATAGCTTAGCTAACTATCCTACAGGACAGGTCTTTAAACTTAGCTCTCAAATATGTTTTCCAACCGTTTTATTCACTAGCAAACCCCCTTTTCATACATCCATATAAACACTATGCCGACACAAGGAAACAGATTTATTACCTTGGCGTGGCCGTTTGTTAAAACACGGAGTCCTGGCTGATGTAGCGAATGCTAGCTGGCTAGCTAGCCGCGGCTAACAGTGAATAAAGACCAAAGTTCAGTTCACTGCAACAAACAGAAAAGCTACAAAAATCGGACATTCCACTTTGCTTCAGCAAAATCGTCCCCGGCGTCTCTTGCTCTTTCAATCCCAAAAAACTGTTCCATACGTGAATAAATTCAACAACTTCCTGTAGCTGTCAATCTGGCTTTGGTAAACACACTGACGTGGAAATGCTGCGCAGCCTCAACCTAGCTTGACTCTGGAGTTTTGATTGACGTAACGTCACTGTGGTCGGTTTAGGTGAGATTAGAAATTTGACGTAGATTAATTTATTGTAAAAACTAATTWATTGTTCTAGATACTTCAATTGTACTACGTTTGAAAAAAAAAGTCAATTTTGTGTTACACCTTGATGAGGGCGGGACATGGTYAACTGTAGAACAGGAAGTTAGGTTGCACCGGGTTGATGACGAAAGCACGGCTTGTCTTCCACTGATGCTGCATTCCTGATGTAATCTCATTTTCAGATCTGTCTAATCGAATTAATGTGGCATCTTCATCAGCAAGATTTCAAAGCTTTAAACTGAGATGTAATTTATACTACAGTTTAATTTTAAAAACTATTGTTTTTTTATTATTATTATTTTTGCCTGCAGAAGTTAAACGGACAAAGGCTGAATATGCCAGCAATATGCCAGTGTGACTTCCTCTCAGGACCCGCACAGTATGTGGCAGGGCATTAAATGTATCACAGACTAAAYAAACTGATGACCCCTCCCTGCATGATGCCCTGAACAGGTTCTAAGASCGTTTCAAGGATCCCAGCACCTCAGTCAGCATCACACTCAAYCCCACACCTGAAGAAGAGCCTCTCAGTGTGAGCCTAGCAGGAATTCGGAATATTCTCCAGAGAATAAACCCTCACAAAGCAGCTGGGATCATCCCAGKATGAGTTCTGAAGGACTGCACCWAACAGCTTGCTKGGGGTGCTCACTGATATCCTGAAAACCTCACTCTCACTGGCAGCTGTCCCCACCTGCCTGAAGACCGCAACCACTATCCCCATCCCTAAAAGCTCCACAATCACAATCCTAAATGTCTATTGGGTGGTAGCTCTCACACCAGTAGTCTAGAAGTGCTTTGAAAGATTATGGCTCACATCWCAGACCATCAGCATCACTGTCGACYCACACCARTACGYATACAGGAAGAACCCGGTTCTTCCTGTATGCGTACTGGTATGGCAACTGTAACAGTGCCAACAACAGTCCATTTTGTTTTGATAGCAATGCACAATTATCAGGAAAAATGTCCGGGTAATTTTCTTTACCGCATTCATGCATATACTGTATAAGTGCTTGGTGATCATTATGAATTTTGAGTATCTGAAAATATTGGACACCCACCATTTAGGCTTTCCTAAAAAATCTTTTAAAGTAGGTTTACCATTTGAATAAGAACTATAAATATAAATACATTTGGATGTTTCAGGTCTACCAAGCAATTTGGGAAAATTTAGCAAACCAAATCAAAAGTACAATAGTTGACTGCAAAAGATGAATCTGCTTGTTTAGTGAGTGAGGAGCACATAATTCCCAGCYGTCATCCCACAATATCCTATCTGCAGCTAGAAGCTCCCATTTACTCAACCCCCACACTCAAAGTTCTTTGCTATGTTCAAAGCCTGTAGATTTGTGTCAGACCTGTTTGCTCACTGCAAACTGTTTGATCACCKGTGAGATTTGTAATTGCAACATTTCATCGGCAAATATAACCGAGACCTTTTTCCTCCAGTGGCAGATACCACTGAGGTAATAACAACACTTAGCTTTACATGACTCTTATGGTCTCAAGGGCATGACTGTAATGAAACAGTAATATGTACATATGTCAATTCTGAMTGAGTTTATTGTGAATCCCACCTCTGAAAATGTGTGAAAGACAAGAGGTAATAGTCTAAAATGTCAACCAAAATGTTGAATAAAGGAGCTACTTAGGWTTCTGAACCTCTAATTTCATTAGTTTGTTAAACGTGCCCTCATCTCTTCTTAACATAAAAGCAAGGACTCTGTTACAGTTTATAATGGTACATGGACAAATGTTTTACTTAATCTCACTGACCCAAAAGTTGAGTGAGTGTGAATGAAATGAAACTGCATGTGCTGAAATGTTGTGGGATCAGTGCAATGATAACCAGATCAAATGAATACCAGAGTTAACAGCACTGGCTTGATATGGGTGTGGCATCTTTACGTGACGTAGTAAAGAAGTCTGGCCTTGAGTTCCAGCAAATTTGACTTGAGGTCCAAGTTAATCCCACACATGTTCCACTGAGGATAGATTAGAGGACTTCGCTCACTTCAGGAGGACCTTAGACACAGACAGCCCATAAACACACATGAARTGTGGACAAATGTCTTGTTTAAAAGCTGTTCTGGGGTGCTGTTTTAAGAGGAGAATGAAATTAGGTCTGTCCTGTGTGTTTTCCTGAAATGTTTTTTTGTAAGTGATTTGAGTTGCCTCTTCAGCTATTTATTTTGAATAAATCATTTGGCCTTTTCTTTGGAAATCTATGTGTTTTGACTGCACCCTTGGGTTTCAAACTCACCAGCAACCATGACAGTGTGGGGAGTTAAAGTTTGTACTTCTAAACATGGTCCCAAAAAGTAAAGAAACATGTAATTTGGTCAATTATTTCTTTGTTGAAACAGTGCTTTCTTGGAAATAAACCTTTTACCATTGGAAAACCTGTTTATTTACTTGTTAAAAATGAGCACAAAAAGTAAGGACATTTGTTTTTAGTAGAACATTTCTTTATTGTTACAATGTTTCTTGGCAATAAATCTTATATAGTTGGAAAGTCTGTTAATTTACCTTGTAAATTGTGTCACATTTGTAAGGAACATGCATTTGTGGGATGAGCAGTAGAGCTGGGTTGCGCCCATGAAAAATTTGCCAAATCTTATCTGTCATTGCTGAATGACTTATTTTGCTGTTCCTGTTGCCACTTGTTTTGAGCTTCTGGTACACCAATGAGGTGGGCATCCAATAAGATGACACCCCAAGAACACTATTTCCTCATCCTATCAGCATTTAGATATGGTGGACTGTCTTCYACARATTTGCAGTCAAGGTTTGCAGGACAATATCTCTGACAGCTCTCTGCCCAGACAATCTGGAACAGACTGCTTGCAGCAAATCTTTGGTCTCATTGGGCAGCCAGGAAACCTGCCATGACTTACCTTCACCTTCAGGTCCATTTGCACTGGTGTTGGCAACACGTGCACTGGAATCTGAACATATGGAGGAACAATATGTTCAGTGATGGGTCCAGACTTGGCCTACAGCAGTTTGATCATATAGTTAAAGTGTGGAGAAGATACAGAGGATGCTATGCTGATTGTTGCACCAACATCCTTTGATGGAGAGGCAGCATCTCCCTCACTGGAGAAACRAGGCTTTTCATCATTGGATGCAATTGCAATAGAGAGCGATATCGAAATGAAATTCTGCAACCAGTGGCAATCCCACACCTCTATAGTCTGGGACTGAACTCTATCCTCCAAGATGAAAACAACCCCCCAACCCCCACAAAGTGTGGTTTATCAGACTACTTCAAGAATTAGGAAGTCGAAACAATGGGATGTCCTGCCAGCAATCCTGACCATTGAACACTTGTGGGATGAGTTTGGGCCAGAGCGACCAACACAACCAAGTTGGCTGACTTGTGACAATTGCTGCTTGAAGAATGGGATGGCGTCTCACAGCAGTGTGTGACCACGTTGTGTGGCTGAGCATGGTTCTTCCCCATGCTACTGAGGCTCCTGTTTAATAAATTAATAAATTGTTAAATGAGTCAAGATAAAGCCGGTTGGCAATGACAGAGAAGACTTAACAATTTGTTCATCTGTGCAACCCACATACTAAGCTGTACTGCTCATGACTCAATTGTGTGTTCCTTACAAATGTTGCACCACTTAAAATATAATTTAACAGGATTTCCAACAGTATAACATTTATTGCCAAGAAACATTGTCACAACAAGGACATAATCTACCAAACACAAATGTCACCAATTTTTGTGTTAAGTATATGTTTAAAAGAGGCTTCAAGTTGTTGTTGCTTTTTTTCTATTCCAGCTTCCGTGTTGGAAAATCTGTTAATACATCAGCATTAAGGAATGACTGGTCCTGGTTCATGAAGGCCACTATCCTGCATGTTTTACCTGTTTCTCTGCTACAACACACCTAGCTTGAATGAATNGTTTCCTACAGCAGCTGAGACCGAAGCATTAACAAAGCTGCCAGTGTATTTCAGCTTGGACTCTTTTGTTTATTTATATTTAATTTTTTTATTATTATCTGAAACCTTTTTGTTACTCCTTCACTGTCACTACCTGTTTTTATCCAGTATCACCTGGATATCAGTCAGGTCTGAAAAGCAGTTTATCACTGCTGGCATGTTACATATTTTTCCCGTTTCCTCCTGCAAATGTTAAAGAAAAGCAAATACACCTGTGCACTGGTTCTGGTCATTTCTCAAAACTAATCTACTTTTGGGGTGTATTTTGCAAGTCCCTTGAACAATCATCGACTACAAYTGACACACCTAAAGATGATACAATTGTTGTGTACACTACTGGTATAAAGCCCAGCTGTGTTAACTCATGTCAAATAAAGGAACATTGGAGGTTTCTTTTTTAATCAGTGGTGGTTGTCAAAGTGACTGCCCTGAAAAAACTCTAAATTTAATCAAGTTTAAATAACTGTATTTAGAGGGYGTTGAGGATCACTCTCATCTACTAACACAAAATGTTGCTGAATACCTGAGGYAGGTTGGCTGAGGTTGATTTCCTGTAGTAGCATTCATGGACGTAATGAGAACACATTTTGACAGTTTGATTAAAATCCATCCATTGTTTCATCAGTTTATTTTATTTTATTTTATTTTATTTTTTGCTAACAGATGGGACTGTTATATTTAATGGTGACATTTTGAAAGCAGATCTTGTGTGATCAGTTTGCACTCAGTGTACACGTTGGGAGTGACTCTCAGCTACTTCCAGACCAAATTTTAGCTCAATATCTGTAAAACTGACAGAGTTTTAGAAATTTTGTTTGCTAAGATCAACGGATGTAGCGGCCATCTTGACTCCAAAAGTTAATCTGTTCTGGATGATCATCCAWTGATTACTTTCTGAGAGGTTTATTAAAATYCAGCCACTGACTCTGATTTGTGAACCAAGTGTTTTGTGTCCCTTTAAACACCTTTTAGAATAAAAGTTAACTGTAAATGTTAAGCTGGAATAAGCTGGTCTTGGTGAGTTGTTTAGTGTGTTCATTTAAAATAATCCCAACAATGCTGTAACTCTGGAGGTGAAAGTAATGGTTGACTGTGTTTCTGATTTTTCTGGGCCAAATTGGTAGGTTTAGAATTTGAACACTGGTAATACAAATATTTCAGTCTTTTTTTTAAAGGGTTTCAAAAATCAGCAGCCATCCTGTTGCTAAATAGGATAGTGTCATTGATGTAGTGGTGAAAATTTTTGACAATAATTAAAGAAAAATGTATCAAGCAAAAAGCCTTGATTAAAGTACAAAACCCAGAAAAATTTTACAACTAAATATGTGAATAAAGTAAGAATGTTTTAATGACAGATGTATATAGATGATAGAACATACTGAGTGCTTCTTTTAATCCAAACATGCGAGTCTTAGTAGTAAGACGTCGATGTCAGTTGGGTCAAGCACAACKCTGAGTGCTAACAAGAGACAGGTGTGTTATTTTTGAACCCACTTTGATTCATTTCCTTTGTGCTGTCTCAAATCCAAACTTACAAATACAAATACTGTCTTAATGACTCTCCTAATGTGGCTGCTTGCTGTCTTCCTTGACCCCCTGTGATGTCACGGTCTCCTCCGCCACTCAGGCAATCTTTCAGCTCAGCAYATTCCCCTTTGTACTCACCTGCCTGCCCGTTCTCCACCGTCCTCGCACCTATGCTTCCTCAAATGTCTGGTGTAATGGCAAAAACATAAGAAGGAACGGGAAGACTGCTTGTTGATTTTTAACAATGTTTACAGAAGAAATGTCAAGCAGAACATTTCGGGGATAAGACAGATCCAAGCGGTRGAATCTCTCTCACCTCCGATTATCAGAAAGTATTTACCTGAGTAAAGCTTATCAGTACCAATGCCACCAGGCTGTCTCACTTAGAGGGACACATGACCTAACAATGAACTGTTAGCAGGTAGGAACTATACGGAACAGTGTTAACACCTAATGAGGAGAGCCTCTCCGTGTCTTATCAGTGAGTCTTATTTTTCCTACACCTCACCTTCCTGGGAAAAAAAACTACAATTAAAGTAGCTATATCACTATTTAAAAATAAACAAAAATGATAAAGATATATACTGTATGTTTTCAATCTATTTTTCACTTTGTCCTGTTAAAGTCAGAACATAAGTAATTTGTTTTAATTTCTTCCTGTCCGCTGCACATATTAATATTTTTGTAATATCTTTAGCCTAATAGCACAGTTGCCTAAGTAATGACTTAGGCAATTAYGCTATTAGCCAATATGTTTGCCATCATTCTATCAACAATGAGTTATTGGGGAGGAAGCTGTATTTTTGAATTATGCATAAAAGAGATGAGTRAACAGCCACGCCTTGGATTCATTTGATTCTAAACTGGACTTGTAATTTTTTGTTTTGTATTGTTTGTTTTCTGACAACATTGACTTACAAACAGGATCTTTAAATCATGTCTAACTTTAATTAGTTCAATGAAGGCAACAATCTTAAGTCAGTCATAGACAAAGATTGACTTTTCAGGCCTTTATGTTTCCACTGAAAGCTGCCTGCAACAAATTTATTGGTTAATCTAATTTTTGTTCCCCTCTCATGTTGTTGTACAGACATGTTGGATTTACTTAAATTATGTCAAAGGTTCCACTCAACTGAATTAAGTAAATGTGAAGCATTTTCTCATTTACTTAAAACTTAAATGGGAAGTAAATATGTTTTATTTACTCAGTTCATTTGGGTTTAAGTAAATCCAACACATCTGGGTTTTGTGTGTATACTCAAAAGAATACATGTTGGATGTACTTTTAAACAAATATGTCAACTGATTTACTCAATTCAGCTAAGTGGAACAGTTTGACTTTTTTATTAAATGCAATTATATCTGTTTTTTAGTGTATTTTTTCTTTACAAATTGACCCCTAAGCAGCAAATCAACCACAGAAACAGGTCATATTCCAGTTCTGAACAATTTTACGACTGTGTCTCAAGAAAATGTGATAATTTGAAATTCTGTGTGAACAACACAGCTAAAAAGTGGGAACAGGGGCAACAAAAAGTTGTAATATTAAAAAAACTCTGAAATAAGTGTCCAAATAAACTGTAAATAACTTTAAAAACTTGTCTTTCCCCAAAAATTGGGATAACTTTGAATATCCCATCTACAGCTTATACTATCATCAAAAGATCTTAAGAATATGGAGAAATCTCCACGTCGGTCAAGCCTGAAATTTGATATGAGACRCTTGAGATCTTAAGGCCCTCAGACAACACCACAATAAAAACAGATCTGATTTTGTTTACATCACTTCTGAAGCTCAGGAATAAGATGCCATGTTGGAGAGGGACCATCATGGCCTGTTCTCAGCACATAGCTCAAAACGCTGCCTCTCTGATGGTGTGGGGGTACATTAGAGTGGCACATGCAGCACGCAACTCTGGAACGTTCACATCATAGGGAAGCAAAATATATGCAGGTTTTAGAACAATATGCACTCCCATTCAGACGACGTCTTGTTTATTTCAGAACGACAACGCCAAACTGCTACTGCGTCGATTCCAACGACATTCCTTTGTTGTGTAAGAGTTTGAGGTCTGACCTGGCCTGCAGAGCAGTCCAGACYTCTCACCAAATAAGAACAATCTGCGCTTCATGAAACTAAAATGATCCTGTCCCAACTTTTGTTACCTGTTGTTGCCATCTTATTGCAAAGTAACCCCCTCCCAAAATAAATAAATAAATAAATAAATAAATAAATAAATAAATAAATAAATAAAATTGTATAATTTATTACTTTGAATGTTTACTAAGTTAATTTGTGGGAAAAAAAGAGTTATGAGGCACACAAATCATTGCAATCTGATTTTACATTTTACAGAACATTGTACGTATTTTTACTAATTTAGTCATTAAAGTGTAAAATTTGCACAGAGGCTGTAAATCCTGTCTGTGGGACAGATCCTAAACAGTGCAGGTATACAGAGAGTGGCTGTGTGAAGGCTGGACCACAGATAATAAGAGAGAGAGAGAGAGAGAGAGAGAGAGAGAGTGAGAGAGAGAGTGTGTGTGTGTGTGTGTGTGTGTGTGTGTGTGTG